AAGCACTCGTTACAAACATTTGGATTACGCTGCGACTTATATTAGGTTGTACCGAAAGTTCTGTCGTTTCATTTTTGAAAACTTGTAACTTCGCGAAATTTCAACGGATTTGCTTGCTTGTAATTTTATTAGAAAGACTAGGTCTTCCGCTTTCAAATACTGTTTTATGGAGCTTCTGTTTCACACTGTATGCAGAGATAAAAATGGAAAACTAAGACCATGTAAACTTTGACCATTTTAAGTTAGGTCACCAAAAATCTGGAATGCTGCAGAAAAATCTGAAATCGTCAGCACATATGTTTTTTGGCCTGCTCTTTGCAACTGTGAAAAGTTTGTGCTGTTTGGACGTCTCTGTGAGAAGTTATGATTTTCGCGAAAATTGACAAATTAATTAATTTTGGCATTTTCCATAGTAAACTCGATATTCATTACTTCTCACAGAGACGTCCAAACAGCACAAACTTTTCACAGTTGCAAAGAGCAGGCCAAAAAACATATGTGTTGACGATTTCAGATTTTTCTGCAGCATTCCAGATTTTTGGTGACCTAACTTAAAATGGTCAAAGTTTACATGGTCTTAGTTTTCCATTTTTATCTCTGCACACAGTGTGAATCAGAATCTCTATAAAACAGCGATCAAAAGCGGAAGACCCAATCTTTCTAATAAAATTACAAGCAAGCAAATCCGTTGAAATCGCGAAGTTACAAGTTTTTGAAAATGAAACGACAGAACTTTCGGTACAACCTAATACAAGGGTCATAGGCACCGTACGTGTGGGCCCTCGCGCGAAACTAACGGATTGCGCCATCTATCCGTGCGAAATACGATCCTGGGGTTTAGTTTCGAGGGAATATCTCAGCCGTTAGGTGAGGCACTTGCGCTGCCGCTTGGGCAGTGCCTTAGTTCGTGCCCCAAAATTACTATCCAAGTGAGATCCCCATATGTTCAGATTTGCTTTTAAGCTTGAATTGAAATATGTCAATAAGTGAATTATATTGCTGTCATCTCTGCCCTTAGCCAGCAGTCAGGTAAAGGAAAAAGATATTTGCACTGCAATAGAGTAGAGGGTAGGCAACCAGGGTAGACTCTGAGAGTAAGTGAACGTTGCTTTCATGACACTGCACCAATAAGCACGTTAATGTATCTGTTTTTTGTAATTTTATTCATGTAGTTTGAAAGAAGTCATAAAGATTTGAGTGACCACTTAGTGAAATTTTGAGAATCAATTCTATCACTGCTTTTTCAAATAATGGCTGCTGTTGATGAATCACTATAAAAGTGATTTCGTATTTTCAATCGTATCCGTTTTCTTAAAATACTCCCTTTTCTCGTTTCCTTTTCATACTTATGCAGCAGCCTGGTATAGAGTGAAGCGGGAGGCGTGCAAGTATATAGTATCGGGAAGGGACGCAGGAGTTCCTAGCACCTCCATTCGCACCAGCATTCACACTCCAGAAGGCTCCTCGCGCCTTCGCGCAACAGAGGTCAAACCCCGCCCTCGCTCCACTTCTTCACTGGTCTCATTCGAAGGCTGCAGGAATAGTATAGGCATGCAACGAAAATTCATGAAAAATTCTCATCTTGCCAAATCTCTTGCCTAAATCTAACTTTTGCATCGACTATATAGTAGATCAGAATCGTTTTGGCATGCTAACAGAAAATTTTAAAAAATTTCAGCGGATATTCAGGTAAAATTAATTGCAAAAGTATCAACAAATCTCTCCAGAAAAAGGTCTTTCTTATCCATCATTATCGTGAAAAGCACCAGACATGAATTCAAACAAAAAGGAAATTTCAGTACTGAAAACGCATTCAAATTCTATGAAAAAGCTGTTGAAAATGACGGGAAGCTCAAATTATTCGGTTAGTAAGTCAAGATCTTGCTCTAAAACTGGTCTAAACCGCAATAAGTCAAATTTCGCTTATTCTAGCTAGATTCTATGGCTTTGATTCGATAGAGCACAGCAAGCTCTACAAGGTAGTGCTTTGAAAAGTTGGATCAAATTTGATCTTCCCGAAGTTGTAGCCAATAGCTAGAAAAATCTAACTGTCCGAAAAATGTGAAAAAAGAAGAAACTCCACCAAAAAAATTGCAGTCGTGCAACTTGCTCAATGAATATTTCCTCACATGAGACGTACATATATACACTTTCTCTGGCTGAAAATCGAGAAAAGGGAAGTATCTTTGCTTCTGACAAAGCGATGCCCACACATAGACTTCATAACTTCTCATCTGTCACCTTCCATCCGTTTTACTCATCCATTCAACAGAACACATTGGTGACTATTCTCCGAGCCTGCACAACTCGGAATAAGATTAGCTAGTGGGCGGAGCAAGTGGGCGGAACCATCTAAAAGGTGCGAAGACCCGTTGAAGGTGCTAAGTACCCCTGCAAGGGAAGGCGGCGAGGCTTTGGGAACTCCTGGGCCGCCGCCTATAGTATCGCACCTCGCAGCTCTAAGGTGCGATACAGCCTCAGGAAAGCGTGATATCCTCGATATCTATATCGTTTTAAACAGCAGAAATTTCGTGTTATTGAAAACATACAAATAAGCAAAGGTAAACAGAGGGTAATTTCTTTAAAGCAAAATGATCACAAAATCAATTCACTTCAAAGGAATCAGAAGCGGAAAATCTTAAAAATTCTGAGATTTCCAGATTTTTTTCTCGCTTAAGTTGGACAGCGGATGAGAACTTACGGGAAAATGTTATGGATGTAACGGTAAGAAAGCTCTGTCAAAATAATTATTTCATACATAGTGATTAAGCGAGGCAAAGTAGGACAATCACATTGAGTAGGTCAATGGTAGCGTGATATCCTCGATATCTATGTCATTTTGAGCAGCAGAGGAATGCCATAACATGAAATTTCTGCTGTTTAAAACGATATAGATATCGAGGATATCACGCTTTCCTGAGGCTGTATCGCACCTCAGAGCGGCGAGGTGCGAGAAAAACTCTCGGCAGAAGTTTAGACGACAAGCGTAATTATGTACCATCCGTGGCGGCTTTGCCGGCAGCTCTGGCGGCTGGCTGCGGCAGCAGTCGGCTGCCTGGGTACCACGCTACGCGCCCCAGTGAAGCTATTTGCGAAACATCAAGACAAGATTGTATACATTCAAACAACGGGTTCTCTTCACTTGGCTTAACATCAAAATGGTAGTCCTGTTTTGCAAATTTTTTTATGAAGTAATGACATCTTCACGAGAAACTCGCTTGCAAAATTTGGTTCCAATGCGAAAGATATAAACAAAGTTACAGCGTCGCAAAGCTGAGCACTTTGAGACATTTACACATTTCTTCGATGCCACTGCAACTTGGTATTCTTCCTATAAGTTCGATGAGTTGCTAACTCACGTTTGTCAATACATACATTTTAAACGAAAAAAATGTCTATAAATCTCCTTTCATCTTTTGAGACATACAATTTTTCATTTTATAGTGTTCGAACATGTGTGGGCTCTTCAGACCGTCTTCCTGTCAGAACGTGTCAACTCGGGCCCAGAGGACACAAAGTAACAATTAGTTTTGTTTTAACAAGGGGTTCATTTTGCAATAAGAAACTTAAAGCATAGTCAAGACGTCATAGCGTGCTCGGGATAAATGCCAGTATGTAGCGCGCTGGCTAAGGTAGGATTTACCTTAGGGTAGAATTTACATCAAGTGGTAAATACGGCAATAGATGAACATTGCCTTTCGCATTACTATTGAAAAAACTCCGGTCTCAGTTGCCTTTGCGAATTTAAAGCTTTGCACTCAATTCATCATCAGATCTGTGAATATAAAGGTTGACAGGAAAAAAAAACTAAAAAGATTCAACTGCCAGAAAATTCATGAAAAAATCATTACTTTGTTTGAAAAATTTCTAACTCGCTCGCGTAAACACTAACCATCTAACACATTTATATACGCCGTTGCCGTATTTTTTTCTCTGCTAGAAATCAAGAAAACGAAGATTTTCATGCTTTTGCCAAAATGATGCTATGATGTCCCTACGATAGATAGGTGTATACATGACGTACCGAGCCCTCCCCCCCCCACGAGAATGGGTCGCGAAATTTTTGAAAGTTACTCAGCTTGCCTTAGTTGGGTGCCTTACGCTAATATCCAAATTTCTCGAAGACTAGTACCTGTAGAGAGCTAAAATTTTATATTTGTACTTCTACAGGCTAATAGTTTACAAATAACTCTGTAGGAGCAGCATAGCATCGCTTTAGCAAGAACATAAAAATCTTCGTCTTCTTAATTTTCATCCAAGAAAAAATACGGCAACGTCGTATATAAATGTCTTAGATAAATAGTGTTTACGAAAGCCAGTTAGAATTTTTGTAGGGTTTTTGAACGGAGTTGTGATTTTCTGTCGATTTTTCGGGCATTGAATCTTTTTACTTTTCGCATTGAAAGTCGAGATGGATCAGAACTGGTGCAAAAGCGAGATAGCCATTCTATAGAGCGTGATTTGCTCTATCGAGCGATACCTTGAAACCTATCTACAAACAAAAAGTTCATGATTTATTTCGACTGAAAATCAAATTGGCGGAACTTATGGGACAACCTAATAGTTTTCGGACCTGTTAGCAAAAAAAAAGAGTTAGGCCTAGGCCTTTAATTTATGCCTAAACCGCTTGTTTCTGTTTTACTCTTTTCTCTTTTGTTTCACTATAACGTCTTCAAACTCTTCTTTATATCTACTGTGGCTAAATTTCGCGCTGGGCTACATTATTCTGGTGTGCAAAGCGCGTGTATAGCCTCATCATAAGGATCGCCACGACCGATCTTGGCTGGGACAGAATAAATGTATAACACTATCGAGACATTTGTGTAAGTGGTCAAAAAGAGCTAAGCGAGACGTGCATACGTAACTCTCATCCACATTGTCATTGGATACGGCTAACATTTTCCTGTCCTAAAATTCGGAAAACAACTGGCTAATTACTTCAAAAATTGCTTCAAACTTTTATATGCCTTAAATTGTCGTATCATACAGATTGCAATTGTTTATCCCGTAATATTTGAGAAATGTGTGAGTTCGATGCTATTTTGCACATTTCCAGATGCGGAGCCTAGAACATTACGATGCTGAGTTCTTCGAATCCACTGCAGGAACGAAGAGAAGTAGCGGAAGCAAATGATCTCTGGAAAACATCATAAAACTTCTAGGTTAAAGTAGCCAAAAGCGTTAGTCAAGAACTGCATATTCTTCCAAGCACGGCAGTTCAATATCTGCTTCGCACTCTCCTTATAGTACTCAGCGCAAGGATGAGATGAACCGTTCAATGAAGTTGCTTTTCGTGTGCAAATCGTTATTGGATGGCGATTTTCTCATCAATCAAGAGAAACCGATTGTTGTCGTCGCATTCAGCTTGTATACAGGGTCGAGCAAAAGGTGTGGCATACTACGAATACAACCCCCTTATTGTTAGTTGTGGTTTGACTAATTCTTCCGAACCAGCGTTTACCCATCGTTAGCATAAGAAAAAGCCTTTTTCAGACACTAGCTTGCTTACACGGCTCCGCCCGATTCAGTGAAAACTATGATAATGGTTCTATCCTTATCCGTGCAGAATCCTTCCCTGTGCCACTTCTCCATGCAAACTCCCTATCCCCGTTTTCTTAGCATGCTCACCTACCCCTTGTACCAACTCCCAGCCCTCTAGGTTAAATTTTGCAAAAAAAATCGATAAAATCGGTAAAAGTAATGGATGAATTTGAAAACTAATACTGTTTTCGTAATCAGCATGTTCACTTACCCCCCTGTGCAAACTCCCAGCCCCGCAGGTCAAACTTTACAAAAAAAAATCAATAAAATTGATAAAAGTAATGGATGATGTTGAAAACTAATATTGTATTCGCAATCAGCATGCTCGACTATCCCCTTGCTGCCAACTCCCAGCCCCGCAGCTCAAACTTTGCAAAAAAAACGATGAAATCGATAAAAGTAGTCGATAATCCTGAAAACTAATATTGTATTCGGAATCCCCATGCTTGATTACCACCCTGTGCCAACTCCAAGCTCCGTAGGTGAGCGCAGGAAAAAATCGATAAAAATCGATAAAATCGATATCGATCGATGACGAAAAGTAGCCTATGACATCCGCCGGGGCCCGATGTGTATGTGTGCCAAGTTTGGTCCGGATCGGTTCAGAAATGGAATTTTCTATTTGGAACATACGTACAGACAGACATACAGACAGACAGACAAACAGACATTCAGCTTTATATATAAGAATATTTCATTTTCGTAACTAGCATGTCACAAAACCAGGGTCGAGCAAGAGGCGTTGCCCATAAGCGCTGGAGACGACCCTCCGTACTAAGTTCTGTCGCAATTCCCCACTATCGTAACATAAAGATTCTACCAAGCATAATCAGTAACATATTCGTATATATCTTGTCAAATAACAACGTGGGTCAAGTCTCTGCGAATTTTGAGAGTTCCCGATATTGGGCCACTCAAGCAACATGGTCATTTCTAAACATGATTAACTATATCTCAAAAGTGAAATGGGTAACTTATTTTCTTATCAAGACAAAGCACTATCTGCCCTACCATAAAATCTGCTTCAAATAGGCATAAAACTACTGAATTAGGAGCTAGCTAAAATATCACTTGCCCCATTTTATCTTATAGTGGTTATGCTTCCAGCAATGATCGCGCAAAAAAAAAACGAGTGCAACAATGCTCTAATCACTTCTACAAAATTAGAGACTTTGCTATTGATCTATTAATGATTTGTTCGTTAAAATTCTCTATGGAGGTAAGTTAATGGGGTTCGGCAGAACCCCGAACAGGCTGTGGCTGCAAAGCATTTAAAATCCATTTATTTTGAATATCGTTTCACTGACAAAACTTTTCTCGACATAGAGGAATTTCGCTCAAAATCGTTTCTCCTAAGGAAAGATGTAGTTGTTTTTTCCTAACCTATGCAAGTGAAAAGTACTGCGAAATTGGGTTACGTTAACATCCTGAGATTCCGCTACTACTATATCGCGATTGAAAGCGGCGAGAATAGATGTATTCGATAGCCTAAATCTCGGAAGTTCCACAAAAGTGTTTTGAATCTGATTGGTCTTTCCTAGTCTAAAATATTGATTCCATGAATTGGGGTCATCTGATATAAGCTCTCATTATGCAAAACTCCCTCGGTAATTTTCACTACGACAATGAAGGAAGATGGTACCATTAGAGCTGACTTCATTTGGAATTCACGCTACTTTATTAATGGATAGAAATTTAAAAAGGTTTTTATCCATTTGGAGCCATATTTAGCCTTGCAAGGGGACCATACTCGATGTATAATGGGAGCGTAGTAGTACAGGAGTGTAATATACATCTTCTCAAAAGCCACGTACACCGAGTATCGTTCCCTAGTTAGAAAGAAATCCAAACAGGCTAATAAATTTTACTTTTTCAATCAGCTGCTTTCGAATATGAAATCTGCACTCTACGCAATGTTCCATTGATTTATGCTATTTCTATGATAACACTGTTTTTTCATGTTCCTCAAAATGTGGTTACACCATTTGAGGGCGAAGAAAACTCGCAAACTTAGGAACGGTTCAATGAACAATGACGTTCTATGATGGAATTTTCTGACGTAATCCTATACCAGGGCCCGGCACGAGGTGGGCAAACGGGGTTTTCCAAAACGAATTCCCCTTTGATCCCAATAAATTTTACGAATACCCCCTTGAGCCCAAAAATGACGTTTTGTGCTTGTGCGACGAGATTGCCGGCCACACTTCGCCTAAAAGCGCTCAAAAGCGCCCAAATTGCTCAAATTCCTCAAATTACTCCTCAGCTGGATCAAGATAGAAAACAGAAAGAAAAATAAGCAAGAAAATGATTAAGGAATGAGAAAATATCAAAGAAACGCAGTCATAGGAATGAGAGACGCCGCTCCCGCGCGTATCGATTGACTGGAGCGCGCTTTCCATCTTAAAAAGCTAGGCTGCTGATGCGGTTTTGGGCTCTAACAAGGTCAAGAGGAGGAGTTTCGGAACCAAAATTTCACCATGTAGTAAACTTTAGGTGTACAACAGATTTATGTAAAAATTTTGAAAAAATTATGTGAACTGAGAGTTTTGCCGACCTCAGGTGGGAATTAGGTCGGCAAATGCCGACCTAATTTGGAAATTAGTTAAGGAAACTTTTCATTCACATAAGTTTTTCATAATATTTCATACTTAGTTACTTAGTCCTACTGCGCATACACACACCGAATCCCGCGCGATTTCGTTACCTCTGCGTTGCAAACGAGCCATTTTTCCATTTCTTTGGTAGCGCAAAATTTTCAGAAAAAAGTTTGCCACAACCTTCAGTCACATAATTTTCCAATGAAACTCCTCAGTTAAGCCCTGCAAGTCCGTTTGCATGTACTTACCAAGTTTCATGCCATATCGTTCATCTGCGCGTTCCAAACGAGCCGTTTGAATTCACATCTTCATTTACCAGTTTTGCGAAATTCTCGGAAAAAATGCTAATTACACGTTCCGTTCACATAAGTTTTTCATAAATTTTCATACTATGTTTCCACTAGCCTCTCTCCGTTCGCATACAGAATTTGGTGCCATATCGTTACACATACATTGAGAACTAGTCATGCATACTGTTACAAATAGCATCGCTTGGGCGACGTCGCGCGTGCGGCAATTAGCGACGGCGCGGTTTGACGCGCGCGAACTCCAGTGTTCGCCTGTTGAGGCACATAACATGTCAAGATAAGTAGCGAGCATGAACTACCAATTTTTTTCCGGGGCTCCGCCCCGGACCCCGCAAAAACGATTTCCCCTTTGCTTTTTGGCCCCAAAACGATTTCCAGCTTGTCATTTGCCGACCTCGTGCCGGGCCCTGTCCTATACTGTTCATAAATCGGTGGTTCGTATTCTGCTGTAAATCTAGGTTGAAGCCAGCACTATAGAGTGGTATGTGGACTTCGACAAAAAACTTTGTGGGAAAAAAGATTTTAACGTCTAACATACACTTGCGACAGCTTGTATATGCAGGGTGTTTCAAAGTAATGTGCATACTGTTTAATCTACAACCACTATCCTGTTATCCTGTTTTAGTGTCCTTCGTCGACCTTTAGTACCATTCTGTGGAGCTGTCTTTGAATTAAAATCAGCTTAACTAATCTCCGGTCCTTCTTCGTTAGTGTAGGATTGCGGTAGGAACTTTAAAGAAAAGTCCCAAAAGAAAAAACCCTTACGCTAGGTTAATCAGAGAATGCTGATTTGAGAAGTGGATTTTGCACGCCAAGGTCATGCTTTCTCTTCCTGCATGAGTTATTTCACTAAAACAGTAGCAACTGCTTTCGCAGTGTTCTTTAAAAGTGTGATTACAACTCTAAAAAGCCTAGAAATTTGGCAGATCATGTTATGCAATCAGTTTGTTCAAAAAACCCTACTACACAATTTTCCAATTTTTTGGGATTTTTTTCACTAAGCGCCTAATTTGCAATGGCGCTGTATGTGGATGTTGCTTCCTACCTACAGTAACGGAAAAGGACCGGGAATTCGTTTCATACTTCGAAACCAAGTTGAAGCCAGCTTTACAGAATAGTGCTTGGGGGTCGACAAAAGACATTGAAGCAGTAGATTTATCAAAGATCAAAGAGTCTGCAGAATAGGACAGCCTGTATAATAGAATGATTTCTTCAAAACACGACTGTTCTATGTCCAAAGATATTAGGGGCCCAAAAGCATTTTCAGAAGACTATAACTTCTTTCCTTCTTAAGGCCCCGGACAGACTTCAAGCGATTTGATCGTCGCTACTTAATCGCCGACATTTCCATTCATTTTCATTTCACATTCAAAAATTTCGGGTTGGAAAAGTATCACAACCGAAATGCAAGTTGATCGGCATGGAATGATGTTGTAACAGTTGTCTCGTCGCGATTCAGTTGCGACGATCAAATCGCGTGAAGTCTGTCCGGGGCCTAATGGATCTTCTTAAGTTTACTCTTTTCAAAACAGAAAACCTTTCTCTTTACAGCATTGCCTTTACCATAAATTTTTTTGTGATAGTTCGAAAAATAGGAACAGGGATTTTCAAGATTTTCGTTTTCAAACAGTGTGAAATTCTGAAAATGTTTTTGTTTGAAGGAGAAATCTTTGTACATTGCAGTGGTGCCCTTTCCATGGGTTAGTATAATATAGTTCGAGAAGTTAGAAGCAAATGAAGAGAAATACTTCAATATTGCAATTTTTTGAGCATGCTCAAAAACCTAAAAACGTCACAGCGGAAGCCGAATTAGTCACAAACACAGGTTTTATAACCTCCTCCTTTTAGCTAAGCAAAATTCGAGCCGATCGGGAGCAGGTGATTTGTGAAAAATGCAGAGCATTTCCCTAAAAAATCATAACTTTTCATAGGAACATTCGTTCAGCAAGAATTTTGCCTGGCTAGAAAGAGGAGATCACAAAACATATACTTGTGTCTGTTTCGGTATTTTTCAATGTTTTTGGATTTTTGGTGAGCTTTAAAATTATCCAATTTTGAGTGATCTTCTTTTTGCATTTTTACCTCTGCGACTTATGCTTAGTAGAATGCATTTAAGATATAGGCGACTTGCATGCGTATAGTGGGCACTGCCGACATTTGAACACGTTGGGAAACTTGTTGAACCTTCATTTCATAGCGTTAGTTTTTGTAGTCTTTAGCTATCAAAAACTGCCACGCGCATACGTTGGCAAACGTCGGCAAAGCTCCGCCTGCTATACTATGGGGAATGGACGATACAAATAGAAACTACATGACTTCCTTATTCTAAAACAATTTATCTTAGGTGAATCCATGGGATACCAGGGAGTTGTAATTTTTTTGAAAAAAAAAAAGCTAGCGAACTTTGAGCCAAAGTAATAGATAGTTCGGTGCTTTAATAGATAGTACACTTTGATACGCACATTGTAACTAGTCCAAACTACCAACGCACAGATGTTTAAGAACAGAAAAGCTAGTAGCATAAACGATTCATTGCAGCAAAGACAGGGCATCGCTGCGCCGGTACGGGTCAGGATTCGCGAAGCGGCGCCGCTGCAACGTCAAGCAGTACAGATCTCGGCTACGTCAGTACTCCTGTCGCAACGTTACTTATGACATCATACCATGTGCCGCCACTCCCCCCTCCCCCCCCCCCCTACTGTGGAGCCGTGCCACTATAACACCGTAGGATTTTTATGAGGCACAAAATCTGGGGAGCGGCGAGCGGCCTCCGCGGTCTCAGTGACCTCTGGGCCAGTAGTAATCCCCCCGACGGCAGGTCTCGTTGGCAGGTCGCTGGCACCTTTTCCGTGAGGTGGCCACAAACTAAAGCCCCAAATTTAGGCCGTCCCAGGCCTTTTTCCAAAAAATTTCTTGACGAAGATGCCGCCTCGACTCGGTAGAAAATTCCATAGAAATCTACGGTTCTAGAAATCCTTTTGTAGAAAAATATTTGGAAGCGCAGAAGGAGCTGCCGGCAACTTCGCGATGTCAGTTGCCGGCAACCTGCCGGCAGCTCGTCGAAATCCGCGAGATGGCAGCTGCCGGCAGGTCAAAGAGCACGGAAAATAGCGTGCTCTTTTGAGAGAGGGAGCTGCCGGCATCTCGACTGCCCCTACCACGTCGAGGTGGTGGCACCTTTGCCGACGGCGTCTGTGAGTTTGCGAATTGCGGCGATATCACACAATTTACGTCAGGCGAAAAAATCAAAAAACTCTGTTTATTCAAAAAACTATCATTTTTCTTATTATATGAGTTTTTCTTTTTTGGAACGACGATTTTCTTACAGAGAAAAAATCTAGTCATGCCTTAGAACCACAAAGAACACTATCTTTTTTGGCAATCCCTTCTAAATCTCGTTTGCACCGATTTCGCCCCTCTCTCGCTCATATCAATCAGCTGTTCTTTCAGGTCAAAGTGTCTCACGCAATGTATTGATCCCACTTACAGGCGGCCACTTACCGGTGCGTTCCTCCTATTGCTGGTGCAAACGGCAATTACTGAACAAATGGTCGAACTGTTAACGTGGTGGCACTTCAAGTTAACATACATAGGTTCGATCGCGCGCGAGGTAGCAGTTTTGCGGCTGTGTGCGTCATCAAAATTTGATGTGCGAAATGATTGCGCACTAAGGTTACATAAGATTATTAAAACCTACAATCAGCTGCCGTCGATGATGGCAACTTCCCCGCGATGCGTGCCTACCTGCCGGCATCTTTGATACCACCAGTTAGGGTAGATTACTACGGGCCCTGATCCGTAGCGTCCCTACGCGCTGTCGGAGTCTCGTTGACCGAGCGCTCCATCGCTCTTACCCCCATACACGAACTTAGTCGGACGGCAGCAGCGTACAGTCTGTGCGTGCAATAAATCCGCTATAGATGGGAATGAAAGAAAGTCTATGGGTTCCGACCTGCTTACCTCCGATAAAACAAGCAAAAGCAGTAGAAAGAAGTCCTCCTGTCCATTCGAAAAGAATTGTGATATGTGATATGGTTAAAACATTTGCATTTTCTTGAAAGTGCTTATTGACATACGGTTGATAAGGTCTCGTGTAGCGGCTACGTATCGTGGGAAGTCTACAACAAAGTAATTCTAAAAAACTCTAAGATAAGCTTATTATGATTACCCGTTGAAAGTGTATGCAATGATTTGATTCAGTTTATCCAGCAGCACTGACATGTTCCTGGAAACATTGCTTCAGAGGAGGTAATTAGACACTGAGCACCTTTCAGAAAAACTAGATACGAGAAATGGGTGCTTTTTCGTTACCCGGGCCCATTTTTTCAAAGAGCTCTCAGGAATAAGCGCCTAAGTCTGAAATTTTTGATACATTTCCGTTATCCGGACCCATTTTCTCATAGAAGGGTATTACTTCTTTTCTTGTACCATATTTGGTGATGCTCTGAGGATGGAGTGTCTACTGCTATGCGTTAAAAAATAAATGACATGTCATCTACATGTACAACAGGTATTACCTAGAGTTTGTTTACTACCTACAAACGTAAGTTCAATCTGTTTTTCAGTCAATAGTGATGACCCCATTCTTGTCAACAAGTTCAAAAAAGAACGTTAGATCATGACTTCGACATCCTGGGTTTGATGAACGCATTAGAATTACACAGAAAGGGAAGTGCGCTAAATGTTCCATCATCTAATTCACGAAACAAGCGGCAACCAAATATTCAGACAATCGCCGGAGGCGGGCTGCCATACGACACCGGAAAAATAGGTCGCCGATTTCTTGCGGTCCGCTTCTTGCGGTTCCAGAAATCTGGAATAATTTCGACCAGTTTTTGGACCTCGGAGAACTATCACAGTCTTTCTATGGATAAGTTGCGGCTCAGTGGCCGCATACTCGCGGACTTTCCGTGAGAATATGCAAAATTGTTTGGGACCGCACAGTCCTTTGTAAAGGACCGCACTGCCCAGGGTATCTTCCGCTGAAAGAAGGTACCCAAACTCGGGTAATTAAACCATCGATGACACCTCTGTCACATAGAGTCTCACCTTTGCTCGGCGTACGGCCGAATGCGTAGAAAGAGTTTGAGCGCTTGCTAAAAGTTTGGCCAGCGCTCGCTGAACGAAATTATTTGAGCGTTCGCAGAAAATGGTGTATTGCTGCCCGCTGGCAAACTATGCGACCGTGAAGAAAGTGCCGCCCGCTGAAGGTTTGGCCACGCCCCAAAATTTTGTTGACTGCTAGCAGAAAAGCGCGAGTTGACCGCTTGTCCCGGCGATTATGTGAGTACTTCAAGCCATCATTTATGTTCTTTTCTGGCTGAAAATGCTTGGCGGAAACAATCTGAGTGTGAGTTTCATTGATTTAGCACTGAAGGCGGCCCGAGATGTTCGATCGCTTTGGAATGTTTTGCTTGAAAAACCGCTAAGCAACTTTTGAGTAATTTTAAATGCTTTCGTATTTTCACCGGAAAAGACTTTGAAAACATGTCAAACAGAGCCAAAACGTGTTAGTTCTTATATTGACAGGTGTCATAGAAACAGTCATCATAGGATGTATGAGATAATTTCTCTGTGCTAAAGGACGCATTCCGTGAGCGCATTTTGAAGAAAAAGGTCTGGATAACGAAAAAGTACGGAAGTTTTTCATTCTTATCGGGACTATCGCTACGTGTTAGGAACAGATTGAATACGTTTTCATAAGTTTGACAAGTTTCTTTTTTCAAATGTATTTCCGGTAGAGTACGAGAGCATCTAAATGACCAAGAAGCTGTTCACTTATTTTTTTCACAGGAGCGCATTTTGAAGGTTTATTGAAATCTTGTTTGTTTCAGCAGTAGTAGGCAAATGTCTTTGTCTTCAAAGTTTTCCGCCATGCAAATCCAACAGGAAAAAATCCAAATCTGTCTGAGGTAGCTCACTAGCGCTTGATTCGTCGCGTGAGGAACCGTGAGGCAGTTCTATGTTCTCACAACTTTAGCATCTTTAACGACCCATTGACGACGACGCCTAATTTTGTGTGGCGACGCTGTGAGACGACGCATTTTTGCACAACACTTTCGGCGCGGAAAAGCTTTGTGATTATTTACGAAATGTAAAAATGTTATTTAAACAACTACAGCCATTTTCTTGGATGACGAAGTCTACGGTTTTCAAAAGTGCAAAAAAATGGAAAAAATGCTGAACTATGGGAAAAATACTAGACCTGAGAAGGATATGATTTTGCAAGGAGTGCGGGCCACCGGTGGTCTGCATCGTCTTCAGTGGGTTAAAACGCGGTTTTTTGAATTTGTTGAATTGAGATAGACATGCCAATTTTCTGACACGTTGTAAGAGGTTGCCAACCCCATGTGTAGTTCGGACTGATTTGGTATAAGGAAGAAGCAAAAGCTTTTTTTATGAAAGAAAAGTCCGGGGAAGGAAAAATACTGAAAGTTCAAAGTCTAAAGCTTTAGGAGAAACAATTATTAATCACATTTCATTGCGACAAGGCTTGTGAAATCCTTCTTTTCAAAAGCATGCTAGATGCGCATATTTGTAGATTACGTCAATACAAAAGAAGGCTTATTCTTTCCGATTATTACATATCTAAATATCAGTGGCGGTCCGAGAAATTTTTTTCGGGGGGGGGGGGGCGACAAAAATTTTTTTCTAAAGAAGGTGCGTGGCGTTAGCCACGCACTCCGAAAAATTTTTTGGGGTGCTTCTCAAAATTTTTGCGGGTCCCCGACCCCTAAAGTCTGAAAAAAGAAAAAAAATTTTATAAGGCTAAAATGAATTTTTAAAAAATTTTTAAAATTATCTTAATTATTTTCAAGTGCAAACAAGTCGTTTGCACATTTTTACAACCCATATAGGTAAGTTTCAAAAATTTCGCGACCCATTCTCGGGGGGGGGGGGGCGCCCCCCCCCCCTCGGTCCGCCACTGCTAAATATAAATGGCCAATCTGCTTCTTTCAAGTCGACTTTACGTCACGAATTTTGCCTCATGATAATTAGTTTAATAGATTATAAGCCTTCGCAAAACTTTTGAATTTGGAACTCTCTACCATCAAAATATCTCAAAGGAAGCAAGTGTGTTTGGCCTACACTTTCATTTACTCAAAATTGATGTAAACGGATTGCTACTGTGTGTTAAACAAAGGGTTGAAAAGGGTGAGACTTGGGTTCGCAATTCTTAAGAGTAAATTTGATTTTGCGCTTTGATATTTGCAGCTTTTTGCTCGTCGTAAATAACTATTATTTTGAATTCCAAATTTGTGTGCTCACTTGCGCACAGCGTACGAACGATGTGCAGGTGTTATGAGTTGATCTCTGACAAAAAGTATCCGTTTGGCTTCATTAAGTACACTCCTCTCGTGCGGCACTAAATCGCCTTGCAATCCTCCGAACCCGAATTGGCGATCAGCCTCGGCTGCTACTTCAAGTGACACATTGTTGATATATTCCAGTACGAGGTTTCTGAATAAATCGTAATTAGCTGGCTCTTACTGCATCATAATGTTTTCTTATCTGAAGCAACTTTTTAGTTGGAACTGGTCGGAGGTTTTATTTGTACTAACACAGTTTCAAAATACGAATGACGTTAGGCTGGCGCAAAATGATAAGCGTTTTGCTTTGCGTCGCTTCAGCAGTCGCAAAAGTTGGATGAATTGCTTCGAACAAGTCATGCACAGCATATCCTTAGTTCTTCTACAGGGTACAGCTAGATTCACTATAGATACACAGTGTAAAGCGAGGCGCCGATCTGCCTTCATCATCATAGGATTAGCGGCAAGAAACTCCGACATAGCGCCATTGCGGATTAGTTGCCGGTTCGAAAATTTTTAGGGAAAATCTGAATGTAAAAGAATCTTCTTGTTGATTGCTTTAGCGGCAATCAAAATTGGTACAGATCTTTATTGTACAGAATATACAGACTGAGTTTTGGCGAACTCGCCTTCTTTGTCTGAAAAGTCGAAAACACGCAAGTAGGTTTTCCAGTCATACACATTGTCGACTACAGAAAAGAGCTCAACCCCCTAAGACAACAGCATCAACTAAAACAGATGATAAATTTGATGGATGCAGGCCAATTATATCAAAAGCTGTAAGACATTATTTTTAGTTATAAGTACAGTGCTGGACATAACTTTGAAGACAATATGAAAATTGTTGTACTTTGCGTCTCTGTCGATGAAACTGTCCGAAACTTTGCTGTATGGTGTGCAGCTAGCCTACCATAACTCCTCAAAACGGCTTTCAATTTTGTTGAGTTTGAACGGAGAAAAATAGAAAATTTCGGAAAAGCTTCTACCGGAAGCTGGACAAACTTATAAAGACACCTGGTTTTTCTGATCACTATCGCATTCGTTGACTCTCAACTTTTTGGACAATTACCTCCTAAAATATGAAACATTTGCAGCGTATGCGACCTGTCATCCTTTTCAAAGAAAAATGTTCACTGCAATTTTTGCTTTCAAAAGCCCAAATTCAATCTGCTTCAATAAACAGCAGATTTGAGGAGTTTCCAAGCTTTTGTTAATCTCAGATGATAGTCATGGACTTCACTGAGCCTTTTCGATAATTTAGTTGAAAAGCGCTTTCGTAAACTCTGCGTAATCGCATACAGTGCTGGTCTTAAATATATAGCCACTCTAAAAATCGTCGTAATTTTCGTTCTTATCGATGAATCTGTCTAAAACTTTGCTGTATTGTGCGAAGTCAACCTGCCATGACACTTCAAAACGCTTCCAGTTTTGTTGAGTTTGCACGAAAAAAAAACGGAAAAATTTGAAAAAGCCCTTAATGAAAGCTGGACAAAATTATTAGATTGAACCGAAAGTTCTGTCGCACCATTTTCAAAAAATCATAACTTCTTTGCCTCACAAGGGTTTTGCGCAATTCAAAGTTTGTCTGAAAGCGTAAAGCAAGTAGCTTCCAATAGTTTCCTGAGGACTTTACAAGGTGCTCAAGTTGCAGAAATAAAAATGAAAGAACGAGATCATCCGAAATTCGGAATTTTTAAGCAAAAATTCTAAAAATTCAGAAACTGTGCAATAACATCCAGAAAAGCCATTATCCTAATTTTTCTTACATTTGATTACTATCTGAGTCAAGTTTGTGCTGATCGAGCCCTTCTTTCAAAAGTTATGAATTTTTGAAAAAAAATGCCAAAAAATCCATTTCTTAAGAATTCTTTGGAAACTGATTTTTCTGCATTATTTTTCAAAAAATCATAACTTTTGAAAGAAGGGCTCGATCAGCACAAACTTGACTCAGATAGTAATCAAATGTAAGAGAAATTAGGATAATGGCTTTTCTGGACTTTATTGCACAGTTTCTGAATTTTTAGAATTTTTGCTTGAAAATTCCGAATTTTGGATGATCTCATTCTTTCATTTTTATCTCTGCCACCTGAGCATGTCGGAAACTCACCAGGGAGATTTTGGAAACTACATGCTTTTCGCTTTCAGAGAAAATTTGAGTTATGCAAAATCGTCGTGACCCAAAGAAGTTATGATTCTTTGAAAATGGTGCGACAGAACTTTCGGTTCAACCTAATATAAAGCCACCTGGTTTTTCTGATCACTATCGCATTCGTTGACTCTCAATTTTTTTGTACAATTACTTCCTAAAATATGAAACATTTGAAATATCTATGGCCTGTCATCCTACTCAAATACTACAGAAGCGATCACTGCATTTTTTTGTTTTCAAAAGCATCAAAAGTCAATCTGCTTTAACAACAAGCTGGTTTGAAAAGTTTTTGAGCTTTGTTCTTTTCAAGTGCTATTTATGGAATCCACCGACCCTTTTGGACAAACAAGGTGAAGGGCGCTTTTGTAAACTCTGCGTAATCGCTGAAATTGACGGACAGACTCCAACCTCACCAAAGAGTTGGCGCACTTTTGCACCACAAAACTCGATTTTCAAGCAATAGAAAATGCTGTAATGTAGCCATTACGACAGCCATGCAACAGTGAACTTGTGTGCATTACTAAGAGAAAATTTCGGGCTTGAGCACTCTGGTTCAGCCGCAGTTGAAATCCACTGAATGTTGAGTGGAGCACCCTGCACAATCAAAGCCAACTCAGATCACGAGATATAACAGGAGACGCTTGAAACTTCAAAATCTTAGCTAATCTCCTTCATCGGGTAAAATATGACACGAAGCACAGGGGGAAATAAGGAGATCTGGGGTTATATCGAATCTTCTGCTTGCAGGGAATTTTCGTGAAAAGTTTTTCAGATCTAAATCGCAACTGCATCACTGAGGAAAATCTGTGAGTTGTTGCAAAAGCTACGTCACCATGTAGGCAATGTGTTAAATCAAATCCAGCGCTTTATGAAATTGCAAACAGAGTTTTGTGGTGCAAAAGTGCCTCAACCCTATGGTGAAGTTGGAGTCTGTCCGTCAATTTCAGCGATTACGCAGAGTTTACAAAAGCGCCCTTTACCTTATTTGTCCAAAAGAGTCAGTAGATTCCATGACTAGCACTTGAAACGAACAGGAGCTTAAAAACTTTTCAAACCAGCTTGTTGTCAAAGCAAATTGACTTTTGATGCTTTTGAAAGCAAAAAATGCAGTGATCGCTTCTATTTGAGTGGGATGACAGACCGTAGGTGTTTCAAATGCTTCATATTTTTGGATGTGACTGTACAAGAAAATTGAGAGTCAACGAATGCGATAGTGATCAGAAAGACCAGGTAGCTTTATAATTTTGTTCAGCTTTCATTAAGGGTTTTTCCAAATTTTTTCGTTGTTCTCCGTTCAAACTCAACGAGACTGGAAGCCGTTTTGAAGGGTCATGGTAGGTTGACATGCGCACAGTACAGCAAAGCTTCAGACAGATTCATCGACAAGAACGAAAATTACGACGATTTCTAGAGTGACTTTATAATTATGGCCAGCACTATAGACCGACAGACTCCAACCTCAAGATAGGCTTGTTACGCTTTTTAACCACAAGACCCAGTTTGCAATGTCCATAGAGTGCCAAACTTGATTAATCACATTGCCTACATAATGATGCAGCTTTCGCAACAATTTCAGATTTTCCCTGATGATGCGGTCGCAATTTAGACTTGTTTAAATCCTTTAGAATTCAAATCCTATTTGAGGCAAAATATCCCCTTCAATGGCTCAAAACTTTATCTAAATTCACACCTAATCCTAGGTAATGAAGATCTGTAGATCTCTTTCTATGCGGTAGAACGGGTGCAAGTTTACTCTGCACTATAAATATCGCTTCGTACTGTAGATTTGAGCTGGAAAGCTCTATACAATTGTACTCAAAGGTTGACAAAAGACTTTGTGGGGAAAGAGATAATAGCTATCCAGTGCGAACATACTTTTAAGACACTTTTATGTAATTCTTAATTGCAAAAGTGGCTTTCACCCACTGTTCCACTGTTCCAGTAGCTGGTTTAGTGAGCTGGAATGTATTAATAGACTAAGGCCCGTAGTAAACCCCCCCCCCCCTTTAGGGGATCTACCTGAGGCGGACCTGAGCTGATCGTGGGGCGCCTCAGTCCAGCATCCGGCGCGCCATTGATCTAGATGCGGATCGCTTTTTAGGTATAAAAATCTTGCGCGCTATCAAAGAGGAAACACCTACATCGTTTGTGCAGGTTTGGTCAAAGGGATATGAGAGTGGTACTCAACCCGCACGAGCGTGGTTCGGTGCCGGCTAGAGCAGAATTTTTGTGCATCACTGAGTAATCTTCGATAGCGGTCACTATGGAAGAAAATAGATGACGGCCGCTATCAAGAAATCCACAAACCAAAAGAATGCACAAAACAAAGCTGCGTTTTTTTAACCAAGATTTCGTCAAAAAATTGAGGAAGTAGGGACAGAATCGAGTGGAAATAAGCAAAGAGATTCTCGCTCTAAGTAGCTTTTGTAGAAATAACCTAAACAAACTCTGCAAAAAGGAGAAAACCTATTTTCTTGTTTTCTTGCCGAAACCAGCTGTTCATTGATCCTTTCCTTTTCAGGCGCCGGTATTGTGCAGTTTTGCGCGTTCTTGTACTGCAACAATACGTCAAGTAAGATGTTTCGTAAGTTACGAGCAACTTACGGGATTTTTCTCTGCGTCTCATCTTTTGCACACTATTTCGGTGGATTCATTTCAAAATCAACGCTGCTTTTGCGGATTTCAATTGAATTCATCGCGGCACCTACCCTGACGCTCACCCGTCAGATCAAGTCAACTCAGCCCCTCAGTTGAGATCATCGGAAGTGAAGTGGGGTTTACTATGGGCTTAAGTTTTGCAGCTCATCTGATAACTTTTCTCTTTTTCAACATGACAAACTCAAATCTTGCCACTGTGTAGGTTACGACGTAAGATACGAGCGTAGTTGCTGTTCTGTCAAAATTGATGTGGCAATGAAGGTTACGGTAGCTATATATAGGGTAAGAACTATGAAATTCGACGGATTTGGCTGAACCTTGGCACAGGGGAGGGGGTTATCCGACATGCCGATCACGAAAATGATTACGAAGATGCGTGATAAGGGATTTTTTGCAAGATTAGTCTGGGTCTACGATATAGGGTCTCACCCTTACAAATTATGATATTCGTATTTGGCAGGTCATAATCCTAATAGAGTCTCAGCGCATTTTGAGGTTCCGACTCCTTAGTCATTGACGACTGCCCCGAGTATCCTCGCGTACAGCGGCTCGTCCAACTTTGTGAGCACGTCAAATCTCGACATGCGGCTAAATTTTTTTTCTTACTGACCCGAATGAGTCAACCTCCAGCAACAATTCATGCACAATTCCGGTTTATTGTGCATGGTCTAGGCTGCTGATGGCTTCATTTTGGCTATAACCCCTATTCTAGAAATTCACCACCTTTCGGAAAATGGCTGGAATTTCTTCAGTACGTGTTCAAAATTCAAACTTTTGTGCGCATTTAAAATACATTGCGCTCTACACATTGCCAAAATTTGAGTGCGCTTAAGAGTAAAGTTACGAAAGAAGTTGCAAACCCAGTTTCCCGAATCATAGTTTCGTGGAGTAAGCGCAGAAAGTGGAAAGAATAGAGGCGTTTTTTGAAAAGTTTTGAATGCAGAAGTAAATGCTTGCACTCGTGACAGCATTCATTTTTGTACTATGTTCCCAAACACTGCCAAGCTCACACAGTTTTTGCACAAAAATAATTCTTGCCTGTCATTGTGCAAATGTTTAACTTTACAAATATTACCTTTTATAAAGCTTCCGCAGCCGTCCACACTGAGAGCTATGACAGTACGACAATGGCGAATAATCTGTTGTGTTAATCACCATTTTCCATCCCTAAAAAACAAATAACCACACTCTGCATTTTGTAAGAGGAACGTGATTCACCTGGTACTCCATCGCATCCATTGCCTCATCAAGATTTGTAAAAAATGCTCCGCGATAATGTGTTGTCATCAAAAGGCTTCGAAGTTTTGCCTAGAATGATCGCTACAGAAGAATGTTACGGCGAGTTTCACGAGGTTTCCTCAACATGAGTGTAGAAAACCCCGTCCAAAAAGTAATGTTCTGACGTTGTAGTACTCTGTCAGCATAAAAGAAAACAGCAACCATACAGCAACGAGTAATCGTGAGCATACCGGCTTCTGATTGAAGTTAGAATTTCTTAGTAGTCCTAAATGTTTAGATTCAAGCGCATCCTTAAGAAAGAAAGAGTTCATTGAAAAGATACCAGAGCGTTCCTTAGAACTGGCTCGCATCATGTTATAAGCACCAAATCTCATGGAACTATAGCACAAGGAGCAAGTCGCATTTCAAGCAGGTATTCTTTCTCTCTAACATTTAGGTCTCCAACATGTATTCGGGGTTCATAAAAACGGCGCTACTTTGCAAGTTTTGATCTTCAAAGTTCAAGGGATCGGCCATACTTTTCCAAAAGGTGTGAATCCTGCTATCTCTGTAATTCCTGCAAATCTCGTGATTTCTCGACTTCGGATGTGCCACACTACGGAGCGTTTTGCGAATGTCAGTATACATTGTTCTTCGCAGTACACATTGTTACGGGATCCGCAGGAAACACAGAATTGCAGGAATTGCAGAAACAATACGGCCAGTCCCTAATAGCCATATGATCTAGCATCTAACATAATGTAACTTTGTTAATCCTCCAATGGCTCTACGAGCATGTTGAAACAGACCATGTGTTAGAGATGGAAAGAAAGGTTGCATGGAACGCGCTTAGCTCGTGTTGGCAGCCTACTTATGAAATTTGATGCTTATTGGTGCATTTTGCAACTTTTAATAATACTCACCGGCTAGAGCAAAGTATTCGTAGTCACCCACTGACGAGGAGTTTTTTCTAAGTACTTTTGCGAAGAAATGCAAGAGGCAACTCACAATTAAGCTAGCAGCCGCCACCATAAGCACAACCTGATATGGATACACTTTATAAGCAAAGGACGCCTAAGTTTTCTTTCATATCCTCCCTTGTTTTTCAACAAGTCTAAAACTTTGCAAACAGTAACATCCAATAACAGTGGTAGTGCAGAATTGGTTACGTATCAAATCTGCTTTTACACTGAATGAGCGAACCTATAAGTAGCAGGTGAATCAGCCAAAAAGTAGAAGGAACACTTTTGCACGTTTCCGGCTGTTCTGAGTGGGTAAGCGAGCTGCATCGCTTTTTTTCTGTTTATCGCAGAAAATATCATCTGCATAGCAGCCACTTCATGGTAAGCCCGCCAAAGCTTTGCTCATTTCTGTAAGCGTAAGGGTGAGCCTCCTACTGACAGATTTGTAAAATGCTTGCCTGTTCAGTATGTAAAAACTCACAAAAACCCCATATTTTGGGACATTGAGGTTTGCGAAATAATGTTAAAAAAGCGGATCTATTCCTACCACTCAATTTTAGAATCTTGTTATACTTTGAAAGAAATTATTGTTGGGGTTAGGTCAGTTAGCTTTTACCAAGAGGCACGCTGACACCCAAAAATGGGTTCATCGTTATTTTCAAGAGTGCAAGGTTCTGAGACTACGTTTTCGAACATACTACACGTTTTTTTAGTCTGGAGCTCTGTGCCTTGTTATCAGCCATTTAGTTCTGATCTCCTTGAGGCTAAGGACTGACTGGCGACGTGCGGTTTGAACTTTTTTCTGATTTTTTCTTTGATGCACCTCGCTGGTACTTATAAACAAATAAGTAGATAAAACAATACTATTTGATAAAGTAAAGCAATTTGAGATGTGTCCAAACATTCGAACAAAGTTTCATCCGTGTAAAGTTTGAAGCCGAAATCCAAAAAGTTGAGTAGAAAATTGAATCTTTGTTGGAAAATGTCCTAGAACTGCAGCTTGCACGTATACTGATCTAGTCTAGTTTATACTGATCCGTTTGCTGATCTAGTACTTGCCTTCCAAATATTACGTCTCGAGACTAAGCTTTTGCCTAGTGAATTCTGGGTTTGGAAGCCTTGCCACGGACGTACAGGTAGGTTTAATTTTTACTGTGCTGATTCAATAGGATCAACAAAATTGAACAAGCTTTTTTATAACTCCTTTTTTGTACGTACTGCACGTTGGATGCAGAAATTGCCTGACTCTGTCATCTCTTCTGTTAACTCAAAATTGTTCAGAAAAAAGCTTTTGGAATGCGACTTTTTGAGTTTGTTAGGCATTGACGAGTCCGAATACTTTTAGATGTAGGGGCTCTTTTACAAGATGTATGTTCCGTTTATTTCAATCCATTTTTTCTTCTCCTCTTTTTTTTTCAGAAAATGGTTAAATTCGGCTGATTGCTTTACATCTTCTTTCTTGCCACGTCTTTTTCATCTGCGATAAGCTTGGGAGTTTAGCTTTCTCTTTAGTTTGTAGTTGTTTTTCTCGGTTTCCTTTTTAGATACCGCTTCTCGGCGGACTCAAGTTGTGTCGCCCAGTATTCGTTGACAACGCATGATCGAGTTCCAGCTTCTTCTTTTATTTGCCTGTACTACCTTTCCTTTTGTAAGAGTGTAAGATAGATGTCGTTTTGTATTGTTTGATCTTTGGTTTGATGATGTGTCAGTTCAATTCGACTGAGACATATTTGTCGTTCTGGGTCTAATTTTCCTTTTCTTCCTGGTACATAAGGCTAACCTAAGGAGACTGCCCGAATATATTTTTTACCGAGATTATTTCCAGTTTTCCTATTGAGTTTGTGGCTCATACAGTATGTTCGGTTGTACTAGGGTTGCCTAGTTTGTTGCGCTAGCATCCCTTTTTCATAGTCTCCGTCATACTCCTTGAATGTTGGTCGCTTGCTGGTCAGCGAGGGTGGCATGTGCAGACTCATATGAATATCCTTTATGGCAGCGTTTCTAATAGTTAGTCCTTGTGTTCTATCATTCATTAGTGGGAACCTAGACTGGCGAATGGTCTCAAAAAAGCTATTTTATTTTTCTGCGTTAAGCCTTTCTTGTCTCTGTGTATGTGTATTTCTAACACTGATTTTTGTTTTCAAGAATCTTTTGTTACTAACCCAACAGTATGGCGCGCCTGTGGCGTATTCAAATAAATAAATAAATAAATAAATACTCTTCACATCAGACAATTGCTATATCATGACACATCCAGTTGCTATATCTTGTCCAAGTCTAAAATGAGGAAGTAAAAATGGGTCGGTACGAAGCCATCTTTTTTTTTCGCGTTTTGCCATGAGAAATGACAGTAATTTTTACGTAGTCTAATGTATTGAGTATATGCGCTGGAGCTGGAGGTTTTAAGAAATTTATGAGCTCATCCAGATCACTTTTTCTACATACAATACCGCTCACAGAATGTGCAAAATTTCCCTGAATATCGCAAAATTCCGAAAATTTCGCGAAATTCCTGGAATTTCGTGAAACATCGCAAACTTTCAGGAGTTTCGCGAGATTCCGGAAAGTTCGCGGAATTTTTGGAATTTTGCGATGTTCACGGAAATTTTGCACATTCTGTGAGCGGTATTGTATATTAGGGTGTCTCATAACTTTTTACCGTTTTCATTTCTCAAGAACTGGGGCACCTACAAAAGATCCAAATACATGATCGTACTCCTGTATGTATGAGCTGTTGATCACATACAGTGACGCCAAAAAGTTGCGGACAAGCCTCCCCTCTTTTTCATCGCTCTTTTTCAGAGGGAAAAGAAGGATGAAAAAATGTAATAGTTGCATGAGGTGATAGAGCTCTTCAAGATCTACAATCTACACTTTGAGTTTCTTGAGAAACATGTGTTTTAAAAATTTTAAGAATCTTTTTCTAAAAAAAGTCCGAAAATGGCCGCGTCGCAATGTCGCGGACAATAATTCTTCGAACGCAAAAATTTTCTTTTGAATTCTATTTTAAAGCGGAAACACAAGTTATCCGGACGGGTACAGAGCTATACAGAGCTCGTCATGAACTACACACTGGTTATGATTGCTTCCCCAAAAAACGCAAGCTTGAGTTTTATTTTAGTTTTTTCAAAAAACAACTTCTAATTTCCTCTATCAAGCCAAATTCCTTCACACGGAAACCTGTTCATAACATCCCAACAAGGCCGTCTAGATGGAATAGATGCTCTTTGCCATCCTCTATGCATCGGACGTGTGCCGATGAGTTTCTTGGGTGAAAATGGCCCTTGACAGTGCTTGCACATGGCCCCACCTGCACCTCACCACTGACTTGCACCGCTTTGCAGGCTTGTAACTCGGCTTGCAGTCAATACTTGAGCCTGCAATTAGGCTCATTCGAAAGAACGAGACTTCCTCTACGCGACGGTATGCAAATCAGTTCAGTTTGAGCAATCCCAGAGATTTGGCGGATGGGGTGGTAGAGGGAAGCTTCAGTTGTAGTCTAAGCCTTTTCAGCTAAAGTTGAAGAGAGCTCCTTTCTCTACCAATTTTATCTTGGAAGTTCAAAACTGTCAATTTTCTTGTAATAAATCCATTTCGAAGATATAAGACTGTTCTGGCGTTCATAAGAGCTTTCACTCCAATCATCTCTAAAGCTGCACTTTTTCACTTCATCCGCCAAATCTCTGGGATTGCTCAAACTGAACTGACTTGCATACCATCGTGTAGAGGAAGTCTCGTTCTTTCGAATGAGTCTAATTGCAGGCTCAAGTATTGACTGCAGGCCGAGCTACAAGCCTGCGCGGTACAAGTCCATGGTGAGGTGCAGGTGGGGTCATGTGCAAGCACTGCCAAGGGCCATTTTCAGCCAAGAAACTCATCAGCACACGTCCGATGCTTACAGGATGGCAAAGAGCATTTATTTTAATAATTTCCATGTTCCGTAATCATTAAACCTGGGCATGATCGTAAGTGTCGAATGTTGTTGTGCCGAACAGGTTGTTAGGTGGTCCTTTTATTGTCAGTACTCTTCGGCCTAACGTTTCGACGCTTTCGTCTTCATCAGAGGCCTGGAATGGTTCAAAGCTTTATCCGTAACTCCAGCCCATCAAACGTCTCTACCAGCCCTTGCCAGTTTTCGGCGCTTCCCCCAATCTAGTGCTATAAGAATTGTGATGGCAAAAGACATACCAGGGAACCACCGCTTCGTTAGATGTCCGTGCCGGATGTAGATGTTCGTGACGGACGACTGAGCTATACTGAGGGATGTCATAAACAGTTATAGCTCACATAATGATAAAAACGGAAGGAAATCAGCGGTTATGGATAAGCACTCGTTTTTGTTGTTCATTTCTGGATTCTTTGCAGAAATCCAGGACGATTCTAAGGCTTTCCTAGCCGAGATCTCTTTTTAAAGTGTTAGAATTGTAACTTTGATATCAAAGTCATCTCCACCATGCAATTCGTGCCTATGTCTGCCAAGCGGCGAAGCCAAGTTCTTACGCCTTTTGTCTGACAAATGCTCTTTGATGCGAATGCCGAGTGTTCTTCCTGTTTCCTCAATATAGCGTGCATTACATTTCAAACATTGAAGCTGATACACCACTCCCATCTTTGCTCAATGCTCAAGTAAAGGTGACCGCTGGCATTGTAGGAGTCAAATGGTATCGCAAGGAAAGCTCTAAAAATATCCTCATCAACGTAAAATCTGCACATCCTGCTTCTGTAAAGCGTGCTGTCATTGGTAATATGTTTAGAACCGCGATGCAGATGTGCAACGGAGAAGAGGAGCGATGCGAGTCACAAAGACTGGCTACCCAAATAGCTTGCAGTAACGGTTACCATTCTTCACCGCACATTCACCATCGGAGAAATGGCAACAACATTCGGGCTGATGACAAACTTCCACTGTGCTTGCCATTCATTTCTGATAAGATCAGCGCGGCCATACAGAAATGCATCGTTCGTGCGCAGCTGCAAGATGATATTATGTTAGTGAACGTTCCCAATGATAATATCAAAAAACAGCTCGTACGTAACAGGCTCTACGATCAATACTGCAATACGGAGCAATGCATGATATGCCCGCACGGCAGAATGGGTGACTGCGCAAAGATGGGAGTGGTGTATCAGCTTCAATGTTTGAAATGTAATGCACGCTATATTGGGGAAACAGGAAGAACACTCGGCATTCGCATCAAAGAGCATTTGTCAGACAAAAGGCGTAAGAACTTGGCTTCGCCGCTTGGCAGACATAGGCACGAATTGCATGGTGGAGATGACTTTGATATCAAAGTCACAATTCTAACACTTGAAAAAGAGATCTCGGCTAGGAAAGCCTTAGAATCGTCCTGGATTTCTGCAAAGAATCCAGAAATGAACAACAAAAACGAGTGCTTATCCATAACCGCTGATTTCCTTCCGTTTTTATCATTATGTGAGCTATAACTGTTTATGTGACATCCCTCAGTATAGCTCAGTCGTCCGTCACGAACATCTACATCCGGCACGGACATCTAACGAAGCGGTGGTTCCCTGGTATGTCTTTTGCCATCACAATTCTTATAGCACTAGATTGGGGGAAGCGCCGAAAACTGGCAAGGGCTGGTAGAGACGTTTGATGGGCTGGAGTTACGGATGAAGCTTTGAACCATTCCAGGCCTCTGATGAAGACGAAAGCGTCGAAACGTAAAGCCGAAGAGTACTGACAATAAAAGGACCACCTAACAACCTGTTCGACACAACAACATTCGACACTTGCATCTATTTTATACAGACGGCTTTGTTGAAATGTCTTGCACAAATTTCCGTGTGAAGAAATTTGGCTTGATAAAGGACATTAGAAGTTGTTTTTTGAAAAAACTAAAATAAAATTCAAGCTTGCGTTTTTTGCGGAAGCAACCATAACCAGTGTGTAGTTCATGACGAGTTCTGTATAATAGTATGCTCACCCGTCCGGATAACTTATGTTTCCGCTTTAAAATAGGACTCAAAAGAAAATTTTTGCGTTTGAAGAATTAATGTCGCGACATTGTGACGCGGCCATTTTCGGACTCATTTTAGAAAAAGATTCTTAAAATTTTTAGAACACATGTTTCTCAAAAAGCTCAAAGTGTAAATTGTAGATCTTGAAGAGCTCTATCAGCTCATGCAACTATTACATTTTTTCATCCTTCTTTTCCTTCTGAAAAAGAGCGATGAAAAAGGGAGAGAGGCTTGTCCGCAACTTTTTGGCGGTCACGTCACTGTACGTGGGAGGAGCTCAGGATGTCTAGAGGCAGAGTTTGCCATTTTGCCTAATTTTTTTCTTTATTTCTAGCCATGGAAAAATTCGAAAAGTGTACAGTTGAATATGCGATGTGTCAAACATATGCTAGGATAATTAAGGAATTGTTTGGATATTTTGGGTCAAATATACGATTTCTGAAAGAAGAGTTAAAAGTTCGTTTTTGACTACTATCAGACTTCAGCTCAAAACTTCACGTGTGATAATATGATTTGAGCAGACTTTTAATAGTCATCTTATAGAGCTTGCTTTGCCCTGAATGATCACTCAAGCCACATCAGATGAAGAAAAGATACTAAAAAAGACTGTGGTTGCAGCAAAAACGGTAAAAAATTATAAGGCACCTTAATATAAATGCCATCTTTACAGCTTGCGTTTCTCCATCGGATAATATGTCTCTCACAGGTATGTCTAATCGTAAAGAAGTCTAAAGAGCCTACTTTTTGCGTTATTTTATGGAAGCAATGCGACATTCAGAATACGTAATCATCCTTTAACATTCTCTAATGCCTTAATTGCAACAACCTAATAGACAAGAAATTCAATCAAGGACGCCTATTCCGTAATAAATCATGTTTGCCTACGTTTCCAGGAAATGTACCAGCAAGATAATCTCTCCTAATCTCCCCTTTTCAGTAATAAATATGTTCGCCTACAGTTCCGGGAAATGCACCAGCAAGATAATCTCCAACTTCAACCTTAGTGTTTTCTTTAATATAGTAGCCAAGATACACAATACCGGTAGGCACAGTAAAATCAACCTAAAGGAGATTTGTGTATCATTGAATTAATCGTGAAGTGAATTAACTTACCTGCTCTTGTCGAGGTATTTCCTGATTGATTGTCTTGATAGAAATATCTGCGCTTCCATTTGCTAACTGCAAAAATGTGTTCATTACATGATTGGCCGTGGCATGTTACTTGATACCATTTGTAAAACATGCTTATGCTCCACCAGCGTTGGATTTATGGTTATGGTGGCATTAATTAGCTGCAAGCATGTCATCAAAAATTCGACCTGAAAAAGCGGGTGTACACTCCTCTTAGCTTTACTGAAAGCGGAATCTAGGTTGCTTACAAAACTGACAAGCATCCTACGTGTGCATACATAGTAAATACATTTACCTCAGCTCCAGGATTTTTACAATTCAATCCCATGCAGTTGCCGAGAGAAACATATGGAAAACGTGACATGACTCCAACGCCCGTCAAATTGTATTCGTATTGCATTTAGAAGCATACGCCAAAAATTAGGAGAACCAGCTCTTCTAAGAATTTAGAATGAAAGTATTTTTTGTTGCACTCCATACAACTATAACTTACATATTTGCTATAACATAGTTTAGACTGACAGTGTAACTTGAGATGAAGGAGAATTCGTTGTGAAAGGAAAGGCTTTTTGAGTGCAAACAATGACAGTGCAAACATATTTTTGTGCACTTTTTAAGGTGGTCTTCTTCATTATCAACACAGTTCGATAGTTCCAGCAGTCTCACAAAAATGTGTGAACGAAAAAGATACCAATTTTCTCAAAAACACATAACCACATTCTGACTAGTCCCTTGCATTCGCTTTCAATTTTAATAATCATAAAGAGAATTGGCGAAACCAACACAATATATTAAGTTGGAAACCAAGTTTTGCAACTGCTTTCATAACTTTACTCTCTTTGAACGTGGCGCATTCAAGCTTTGACTATATGTAGATCTCAATTTGTGCTACACCCTTGCACAAACTGTTTAGTTTTTAAAAACGAATGGAAAAAACTACATGCATTTTTTTAAAAATAGTAAATTTCGAGGATTTATGAGGTCATGAGCAAAAATGAAGCAGTTCGTGACCCAAACCATGCATAATGATCCGAGACTGTATGTGATTTATTGCTTGAGGTTGAGTCACTTAGCTCATAGGAAAAGAATAGAATTCAAAGACAAGTCGAGATCTAGCTCCTTCACGAAGTTGAAGTACGCGAGGCTGGTGGGACAGTCGTTAATGACTAAGGAGTGGGAACGTCAAAATCTGCGGAGACTTCATATAGTGAAGTTATTCGACCTGTTAAACACGAATATCATATTTGTCTGCTAAACTAGCTTCTTTTCTATTGTTTAGGGTGAGACCGCCATACCGTAAAGCACAGTAATCTTACAAAGCCCTTCTCATGCAAATTCAATACGTCATTCGTGATCAGCATTTTGAATAACCTCCTATGTCAAGTTTTAATCAAGTCTGTAATGATCTGTAATTTTCTCCTTTGCACCATATTTCTACCTTAATTCTCACTGAGACGTCAGAATTTGGCGGAAGGGCAGCCAGATAACCGCCGGGGCAGGCGGTCCGAAAACTCGCGCTTTTCTGCAAGCAGTCAGCTCTGGGGCGTTGCCAAACCTTCAGCGGGCGGCACTTCCTTTACGGTCGTATATTCTGCCAGCGGGCAGCAATACAGCATTTTCTGCAAGCACTCGGCAAATAATTTCGTTCAGCAAGCGCTCGGACTTTTTTTTACGCAGTTTCGGCCGTACGTTGAGCAAAGGTGAGACTCTATGTGGAGATGTGTCATCGATGGTTTAATTACTCAAGTTTGAGGTACCTTCTTCCAGTGGAAGATACCCTGAGCAGTGCGGTCCTTCACAAAGGACCGTGCGGCCCTCAACAATTTTGCATATTCTCGCGGAAGAGTTGAACTCAGTCTCCAAACAGATAATTATTATGATCCTAATAAAATGTGATTTTCCAAGCACGCCCTGCAGAAGAGCGAAATATTTCATAAGGTTTGAGTTACGTAAACAAGCGCGCATAAATCGGCTTGTTTGGTTATTATGCATGTTGTGCTTGTCTGGCCCGTTATTTATTGTTTTCATGCACGCGTCGGCAAGCCATTATATTACGCGCCACCTTGAAGGCTCGTATGACATTGCTTTCAGTGTTTGCTTTGGCTCGACATTCCTCTGGCTCACACATCGCCCATGTATCTCCTTTCTTGTAAAAGAACTTCCGAGGAGCTTCAGAAGTAGAACTCAACGACATAGAAGGGGATTAAAAATCACATTAGGTGGGTATAGCGGAAATCAAAGGATGCTGTGAAATTTTCAATTGATATATGAGATTCGAGAAAGCACCAAAATGATATTTCGGTATCTTGTACGGAGCTATAGACACTTGACTGCCTAACTTGTTCACTTTGTCGAAAGCTTTTGATTTTGAGCTCAAAATTCAATTCAAAGACGCTACTATACGGTGACACAGAGGTGAAAAAAGTACAAGAATGGCTAAAATGATTACAAATTACAAACTCCGCTAAAGTGACTTCTATCATCTGATTGATACATTGCTTTGTTACAGAATGCCTTTCACACAAAACTAATTACTAATGGTAAGTTCGTAACATCAAAGAAAATTCAAGGTTGATCAGCCGCAGTTTTAGAAATTCCGCAAGAGCCTGTAAATAAAGCACAAATAAACTTTGATGAGGTATATGTCAAAAGAAGTAGTAATGATGAAACGAGCAAACAGACTTAACAGACTTGACATATACCTCATCAAATAAATTTTGATGAGGTATATGTCAAAATAAACCATTGTTATTGTTTTTCTTCTAACTGTACGAAACCTTCCTGAACTACTGCATAAGAAAGTCTGTTTGCTCGTTTCATCATTACTACTTCTTACTAGAAAATATTGCGGTACATCGTTTTCATACTCCACTTGAATAGCTGTGCCTCATTCATGGATTGCTTTCATCCATATTTTATACTAGCTGGCTTACCCGGCTCCGCCGTATCCCTCAGATAATCGCCGGGGGCAGGCGGTCCGCAAACTCGCGCTTTTCTGCAGGCGGTCAGCAGAATTTTGGGGCGTGGCCAAACCTTCAGCGGGCGGTACTTCCGCGTTCTGCCAGCAGGCAGCAATACAGAATTTTCTGCGAGCGCTCGTCAAATAATATCTTCCAGCGAGCGCTGGCCAAACTTTCAGCAAGCGCTCGGACTCTTCTTAGGTATTTTCGGGCGTACGTCGAGCGCAGGTAAGACTCTGTGTGGCAGAGGTGTCACCGTTGGTTTAATTACTCAAGTTTGAGGTACTTTCTCTCAGCGGAAAGTACCTGGGGGTTGCGCGGTCCTCCACAAAGGAACGTGCGGCCCTCGAAATTTTTGCATATTCTCGCGGAAAGTCCGCGAGAATGCGGCCACTGCGCCGCAGCTAATCCATAAAGAAACCGCGATTGTTCTTCAAGCATTCGTCTTTAATTTTGCCAACTTTCTTAGAAATTTCTGCAAGCGGGCAGCAAAAAATCAACGAACTATTTTTCCGGTGCGCGCTTGCTCAAAATTCGCATGGCCGCCTGCCCCCGGCGGTTATCTGAGCCGGACCAAACTTGGCACACATACACTTCGGGCCCCGGCGGGTGTCACAGTCCACTTTTCGTTATCGATCGATGTCGATTTTACCGATTTTTATCGATTTTTTTGCAGAGTTCACCTACAGGGCTAGGAGTTGGCACAGGGGGGGAAGTGAGCATGGGGATTCCGAATACAATATTAGTTTTCAGGATCGTCCATTACTTTTATTGATTTTATCGATTTTTTGTAAATTTTGACATGCGAGGCTGGGATTTTGCACAGGGGGGTAATCGAGCATGCTGATTACGAACACAATATTACTTTTCAGGATCGTCCATTACTTTTATCGATTTTATCGATTTTTTGTAAAGTTTGACCTGCGGGGCTGGGAGTTTGCACAGGGGGGTAATCGAGCATGCAGATTACGAATACAATATTAGTTTTCAAGATCGTCCATTACTTTTATCGATTTTATCGATTTTTTGAAAATTTGAGCTAGGGTGCTGGAATTTGGCACAGGGGTGTAATCGAACATGCTGATCACCGCCCTTGGGGGTGATCAGCATGCTCGATTACCCCGCTGTGCCAACTCCCAGCCCCGTAGCTCAAACTTTGCAAAAAAAATCGATAAAATCGATAAAAGTAATCGATAATCCTGAAAACCAATATTGTATTCGGAATCCCCATGCTCGATTACCCCCCTGTGCCAACTCCCAGCCCCGTAGGTGAACTCTGCAAAAAAATCGATAAAAATCGATGAAATCGATATCGATCGATGACGAAAAGTAGCCTATGACACGCGCCGGTGCCCGAAGTGTATGTATGCCAAGTTTGGTCCGGATCGGTTCAGAAATGGAATTTTCTATTCGGAACATACGTACACACAGACAGACATACAGACAGACAGACAGACAGACAGACAGACAGACAGACAAGCAGACATTCAGCTTTATATATAAGATAGAAAGTCACGCTCTGAAGTCAAAAGAGAGGAGCTTTTTTTGATTTTTTTGAGCTCCAGCTAAGCTCTTTAACACTTTGACGACCATGCAGATTTTTAGCTGCCTGCCTTCTGGGACCAAGGCCTTTTCAAGCCAGCCCAAATTTTTTAACTATAATTACGCATATTGCCGTTCACAGTACACCTGTTTGACATACCATATGTCAAGCGGTCGTCAATGTGTTGACCTGATTTTCTCTGAAAATCCGTTGAATGGAATGCAATTCTTTGAGTGGTCTACATATAGGGGTTAGGGGATATAGAAAACTGGTTTGTTTTTACTGTAATGAGAGGATTTTTACTGATTTCTATGAAATTACTTTCTCAATTTTTGAGACCTGGGTTCTAGTTCTGACTTTACGAGTATTTGAATGTTCTATCAAATGTTCAAATCAAATTATGGGAAGTGTCTGCTTCATTCAAGTAACTTTTGCAGATACATAGAGGCTTACACGCAAGCCATGTCGCACAAGTACTCTGCCCAGAGGCATTCATCTTCTGTTCCCGTGGGAACTCGGCCGACTCGGATTATGAAATGCCACGGGGCATGCCCTCAAACTATTTGCTTTTCGTGTTCATCAGAGCTTAACGCAAGAACGCATTGCTGATGATAAATTGGCTTAACGAAATCCATGTACGCGGAAACTGTTGAGGCTTCCTATTGGTCTATGCCCTCAAATTTGTGCTGGTAAAAACGGCTTGAAAATTCAGATAATCTAAAACCTTCTTAGGTCTTCTTTCCTTTTATAAACGTCCCATTTGTCTGCCTAGTTAGATTTATGGATATTAGCGATATTTAGAGCGAGGCAATAAGCGATTTATTCGATTAACGAGCACATTCCTTTCGATGTCAGATGCATCTGCCTGACCTTCTAGAATTAATAATGCGTCAGCAT